CACACACACACAAACATCCTGATAATTTTATTTCAAATCAATGAATTTTCACCATTTTCCTCACCCCCCCATCCCCCACCCCCCTTGGAAATTTGGAAACCCCTCCCAGATAGGTCTCTGGATCCGCCACTGAAAAGACAGAGGTTTCTGTGTCCGAAGTACAGAGTTTTGTAGTACATTTACCATGGAAACGAATGTGTTCAAAGTACAGATGAGTATTCAACAATTATTGGTAATTAATCGATATTTAATGATAATTAATAAGCGTGACGGCACATACTTTAATCAAAGAACGCAAGAGACCTCAGTAATGGAAACATGTACACGTGTTTTGTAAGTACAAAGGTTTCCTTGTAATCAGAAACTTATCTATCCAAAGTGCAGAGGTTTCACAGTGCAAAGAAACAGATATATCCCAAGTAAAGAGGGTTCGCACTGCAGTTAGTGTACACTTATATTTATTAAATGATAATGCATGTAAATAAGCATGGCAGCACCAAATCCCACCAAAGGACGTAAACGACCTGCAGGAATGGAATATCATTTAAGCACAACATACAAGGCGTTGAATTGTTTATTAGCACTTATTTATAATGCTTGAAAAACTAGGAAGGTAAATACGTAAATACGTGAGCGGATGTTAACTTATTATGATCTCTTTTTCACAGTTGTATCAACTTGTGATGTTTTGTAGTCTCGTTCAACCAAACTCTTGTTTTCTCCGCGAGATAACGTCTTGAGTTACGCATTAGTCAAACGTTTGGTTGAACGAAAGTCGCTATAGGTGTTGCGACGAAATCAAACAAACAAAGGGAGATAACACAATCATATTGTATTTTGTTAATTAGAGACTGGTCGTCAGGAATGTTATACTATATATATATATATGTTCATATCTAAGGTACATTCTGGGAACTAGAAAAGGCCATGATATGCATAAAACGACCACACTGGGTGACTAATAATTAACGTACAGGTAATCTGGTCAGAATTTATCCACAAGTACATAACGTTCAAGTTGCAAATCAAGGAATGGAAGGAGGACTTTTCCCTCTAGGTGAATTTAGGATGTAAGTGCTATTTTGAACTATTTGATTGATCTTCCTCTCTGAATCCTCTATTAGTCACTTGCTTTGTTGTTCAATTTACAAAAATCAGGTAAACGAATTTGAAGGCTTGAGTTTTACAGGTTTCCGAAATTCAATTAATAAATAAAGGTATAAATATATTTACTTTCTACCTTTTCCAAACAAGCTAATTATAAACATGTATATATTGTGGCTCTGATGTAGATAGTTTTAATAAGATATGTGAACTCACCTAACATCTGATAACACGGAACATCCCGATAATGCGGAACATCCCGATTAAACGGAACATCCTTATAATTCGGAACCTCTCGATCATAGGAACATCCAAATCATACAGGAATTCCCGACAATTCGGAACCTCCCGATAAAGCAAAACATCCCGATTAAGCGGAACATCCCGATAATGCGGAACCACCCGATAATACGGAAGCTTCCGACTATACGAAACATCTCGATAATATGTAAAGAACCTTTTTTTATGTATATGTAGGAATGTAGATAGTAAAACTTCATGCATCACAAAGCTATCAATAATTAGATATCACACGAATTAAAAAGTGCACGCAGCTAGGGAGAAACTACGTTAATAACTACATGTAATTATCGAAAAAGAATGGGTCAATTCTTGTTGTTTCTTCTATCAGGTCCTATATAACCGTGACATTTAAACATGAGAAAAAAAGCGGGAAATGGTTACATGATCTATGACTGCGTATTCTAAAGACGTTACGTTTGAAAATAAGACTGAAGCCATTTTGAATAGGCCACTCAACTCAATTCTATATTTTCTAGTTACTAAATTCTATATTTTCTAGTTACTCAATTCTACATCTTCTAGTTACTCAATTCTATATTTTCTAGTTACTCAATTCTATATTGTCTAGATACTCGATTCAACATTTTCTAATGACTCAATTCAACGTTCACTAATAACTCAATTCTACATTTTCTAGCTACTCATCTCTACATTTTCTAGTTACTCAATTCTATATTTTCTAGTTACTCAATTCTACATAATTATATTCTAGGTACTCAATTCAACATTTTCTAGTTACTCAATTCCAAATTTTCTAGTTACTCAATTCTACATTTTCTAGCTACTCATCTCTACATTTTCTAGTTACTCAATTCTATATTTTCTAGTTACTCAATTCTACATTTCTAGTTACTCATCTCTACATTTTCTAGTTACTCAATCCAAGCTTTTCTAGTTACTCAATTCTACATTTTCTAGTTACTCATCTCTACATTTTCTAGTTACTCAATTCTATATTTTCTAGTTACTCAATTTTTCTAGTTACTCAATTCTATATTTTCTAGTTACTCAATTTTACCTTTTCTAGTTACTCAATTCTATATTTTCTAGTTACTCAATTGTACATTTTCTAGTTACTCAATTCTATATTTTCTAGTTACTCAATTTTTCTAGTTACTCAATTCTATATTTTCTAGTTACTCAATTCAACATTTTCTAGTGACTCAATTCAACGTTCACTAATAACTCAATTCTACATTTTCTAGTTACTCAATTCCATATTTTCTAGTTACTCAATTCTACATAATTATATTCTAGGTACTCAATTCAATATTTTCTAGTTACTCAATTTTACATTTTCTAGTTACTCAATTCTATATTTTCTAGTTACTCAATTGTACATTTTCTAGTTACTCAATTCTATATTTTCTAGTTACTCAATTCAACATTTTCTAGTGACTCAATTCAACGTTCAATAATAACTCAATTCTACATTTTCTAGTTACTCAATTCCATATTTTCTAGTTACTCAATTCTATATTTTCTAGTTACTCAATTCAACATTTTCTAGTGACTCAATTCAACGTTCACTAATAACTCAATTCTACATTTTCTAGTTACTCAATTCCATATTTTCTAGTTACTCAATTCTACATAATTATATTCTAGGTACTCAATTCAACATTTTCTAGTTACTCAATTCTATATTTTCTAGTTACTGAATTCTACATTTTCTAGTTACTCAATTTGACAGTTTTCTGGTATTATCTGGTATGTTAAGCTTACAAGAAAGTTCTCAATTGTGTTGTTAAGTACCACTTTCAAAATGAACTTCTTTTTCTACCGTTTTACTAAAATTCTGCAGTTTGGAATGCGGTGAATAGAGAATAAAGTTCTGATTGGTCAATGCTAAAAGTGTTAGGTTACGTGAAAAAAGAACATTTAGCATATATCCTCCCCATACAGATTGTAAGCAGTATCAGTTTGTATAAATGGGGATAAATTAAAACTTGTCGTTATTTTAAAACACCTGAGGAAGCAAATATGGACTTAAGAAATTATTTCGGCTAAACGTTCAATTTTGATACGACAAAATTAGGAAAAAAATATGTCAATGTAGAGATGCATGAATAGGTGACATGATCACATTTCCACTTTGTCATTTACATCACAGAAAGTATTCTTTATTTCGGTGGTGCATGGTGCTAGTTCCATTCACAAGTGGCACCACTGTCTCCCCGTTAAATCGGCCGTACTTCCGGTTCGGGTCTGTCCTCCTATTACACGTCATAGTCGACTGTTCCCGGAAGTCCTCCCAAAGGTACTTGATGATATCGGACACTCCAGTAGACTGGGAATTGCTGCTGATCAATTTCAATAAATACACTCCGTCAGGTTTTAGAAAACCACCCACAAATTTTGTAATTAATTTTGGAAACGCGCTTTTGTTTTCCCATAGATCTAAGCTATTCAATAACAAGTATTTCTTTATGAAGCTTTCTCTATTCTGCGGGACAACAGTTGCGAACAACAAAGAGATGAGGTTGATGAAACTTAACACAGCTAGCATCGTAAACCAAAACCATAAAAACACGAAAAATCGTTCATTGTAAAAGTTAACAGGTAGAACGCATTGTAGGGTCCATCTTTGTACATTTGTCATCTGACGAAGGTCAAGGTCACACAAGGTTACGAGCGGGAACCTTGGTGACATGACCCATTCCTCTCCTTTGAAAACAGACGCTATAACTTCGTACCCAAACAGATAAAATTTGTTTCCGAGAAATTCATTTAAAAAAAATAACAGCCCAACATTGTTGATGAAGTATAAAAGTCTGATTATTATTGCTAAGCTCACTAAATAGTTCCCGTAATGTCGGCCACAGCCAAGAAAAAAGTAATTTCCAAACCGTTCCCAGAGCGAACCACATATTCCGGATCTGTAAGGGCTGGCACTGCTACTAGCCCAACGTCCGATATATTTAGACAGTGATCGAAGCCGCTTCTCCCGATCTTCCGGACTTAGGTCTTGAGTCAAGTGGGTGAGTTTGAGACTGTTTTTAAGACCAATCCCTGACATCTGTACACCAAGTCGCCAGACTAGTCGGGGCAGCTTCAGGAACATCGCCATTAGCAGCAGCATGACAGGTACCCACTGATAGTAAGTGATTTCTGTGGACATGCGCGTTTCATAGTTGGATGGGATTTCACGTGAGAAAGGTATGTAGTAAGTGTTAGACACCCAGCATACCCTATTGGTGTATTTGACCTCTGTCGAGGTGAAATGTGCGGGGCAAAAACACTGGATAGGCGAGCCGACATAATGTTTGGTAACTACCATTGCCGTAAACATCATAAGAATCATGTTGGTATGGTAATGGCACAACCTGTCAATGATGTTGTCGTCGTACACGTACCGGTTACCGTCCGCGGACCGACCATTAGACCGGATGGCCTGGTAGATTCTGTGGAGAGAGAAAGGAACAATTGTCATGGTAATTACAAAGTAAACGTCCGCTGACCGACCATTAGACCGTATGACCTGGTAGATTCTGTGTAGAGAAAAATATATCATGATAATAACAAAGTTAACGTCTGCTGACCGACCATTAGACCGGATGGCCTGGTAAATTCTGTGGAGAGAGAAAGGAATCATGATAGTTACAAAGTTAACGTCCGCTGACCGACCATTAGACCGTATGACCTGGTAGCTTCTGTGTAGAGAAAAATATATCATGATAATAACAAAGTCAACGTCCGCTGACCGACCATTAGACCGGATGACCTGGTAGATTCTGTGGAGAGAGAAATGAATCATGATAATTACAAACTAACCGCCCACAGACCGACCATTAGACCGGATGACCTGGTAGATTCTGTGGAGAAAGAAAGGAATCATGATAATTACAAACTCTACGTCCGAGGACCGACCATTAGACCGGATGACCTGGTAGATTCTGTGGAGAGAGAAAGGAATCGTGATAATTACAAACTTAACGTCCGAGGTATGGTATGACGTCGACAACGGTGAGTTACGGTGAGTTATGATAATTACAAACTTAACGTCCGAGGACCGACCATTAGACCGGATGATCTGGTAGATTCTGTGGAGAGAGAAAACAATTATGATAAAATGAGAAAAAGCATTTTGATTCAGTGGATTGGAACTTCATGTTCTAGCTAAATATCAGCTCACCAACAGTTAGACTGGAAAATATAATTTCTTTCCTTATGAGATTGTATAGTAGTTTTACGGCCTATCGACAACTTAACAGGCTCAGGAGAATACGGTGAAGCAACATCCGATTTGTAAGGGATCCCACATTAGTCGCCTCTTATGACACACATGCAGTGGGATACAGCAGCTCTGTTCTTGGTTTTTCAATGTGCTCTAAAGAGAATGGAATAACCAACCCCCAATTTTGCGGGTCGGTGTTGGGAGGAGACATGTAACGATCTTACGATAACAGTGGGATAGATACATGTAAGTCATTTACTCTTTTCTTCAAACCCGCAGGTTTTTTGACATCTTTGAAATCCAACGATTTCGCTTTCGATACAAATACATGGATCTATTCTATTAAGATGTACATATATAATAAACAATAGACTAAACCGATTACAATATGTAATCTCGGCTCGATATACATGTACGATGTAAACACAACAGACGCTGGTAGAAAGTTAAACACAGGGTTATGTTGTTTGGTTTCGCATGGTCCTACATGTATTAAGGAGGCACGGTAGTCTAGTGGTAGGACGCCGGGCTAGTGACCGAAGGGTTGCGGGTTCGAGTCACGGCACGGCACTGTGCTCCGCTTGTTCCAGTCTACTCAGCTGTAAATACGTACGTGGTTGGGCAGCGCTAGAATGGTTGAATGCTAGCTGTTAGCGCCGAAATGGCAGCTCCGACTGTATGCTCCCAACGGAGTTGAGAAGGATATTGGCTGGTTGCAAATGCCCTATAACCACGGATAATACTTTGTGAACCGCTTTGAGACAACCTACGAACTAGGTTGTGATAAAGCGGTATATAAGAACCTCGAATTATTATTATTATTTATTATTATTAACAGCCAAGGTCATTTAAGGACGTGCTGCAATATTGTTTAAGTACCCTGCTTACAAAAGTAAGATAGCCACACTAGATTGCAGAAGAAAAGCTAATAACAAGCAAGGTCGGCCTACCAAATTTCGTAAGGACACAATGTAGACTTAGACATATTATCTCCGAAATCCAAGAGTTCAAAAACTTGAAAGAATTCATATCTTCCCTGCAAAGAGATACGGATATCGAGAGTGGGCCCTAGTAACACACTGTTTATGCATATATAACTACGTGTAGTTAGATAAGTCTGCATGACTCTTTAAGACAAAATACGATAAATGCAATGCGAGGACGGAACGACGGACACTGTAGTATACAATCTCCATTGACAACGAGAAGGTCGGGCTGCTAGATTCCGTAGTTATGGAAGACAGACGTTGGTGCTAATTCTAATATTAGAAAAACAAAAAGAAGAAAACGAAAGCAATCATCGCATAGTTTACTAAGGGTAAGGTCGACCTTCTTGGCTCTACAGGACATCGGTTAAAATAATGTAGACTTGTTATACTCGCTAACTTCTGTAAGGAAAACAGACTTTGGTAAGATTTGGTATTATAGCTACTGGCCTATTAAAGTGCAAATGGCTCGATACAATGTATCTATGTATTTTGACAGAAATAGTTTATTACCATCAGAAAGGAGTTAACACTTGTTTACCGCTTACAACCTTATACCTTTAGCGGGGTCGAAACAAAATATTATCTTGTCAAAATATATAATGTATGTAATTAACAATACCGATGCTCATAATATTAAATTTACATAAACCCTTTCCATTTTTCATTAACTGTATGGAAAGTCACCCTGCAGTTACTGGACAGTAACTGCAGTCTCCATTATCTGGTCACATGACCATGGTTTCCCTGACGTCAGTGTAAGCAACCTCTCCCACCGATACGATAGCCGCCATCTTGTTGTTGTCGTTTGGTTCATACAAGTCGCATTTTGACGGGTTTTGCAGACGATGAAGACATCCAGAATGGGGAGGTAAGTTCTTACTTTTGTATTAGAATGTTCTGTACATATAATTAGAGCTTTTAATTGCATTTAACAGTTGTCGCCTGGTTACATTTTTAATGGCGACCGTTGTTTGGAAAGTTTTCGGTCCGATAATGGCCGTCTTAATTAAGCTCATCCGACTTATTAATAAACGACAGGTCGTACGAGGAAATGTAAAGATAACGATTGAACGTCTGTCAGATTGCAGTTACAGCCAATATGAATGCAATCTGGGTGACAGATACATTGAATGACGTCATGATTATTTATCTGTCACCCAGATTGCATTCATATTGGCTGTAACTGCAATCGGACAGACGTTCAATCCATAAGTAAGCGAAGATATTTGGGATGGAGAGGTTTTGTTGATTGGATGTCAGAGATATGTGTTGAGTGATGCCAATTACATGTAATTATCTGTATGAAAGAGTGAAAACAAGTCGATAAGAAAGAAACAATTACGTTGAAAATGTCATGGCTTTGAATATAGCATACAGTTTTGTTATAATGGTGTGGTTTACATATTTCTTAGTCTATATCCTAGGTGTAAAGAATTAGTTCGGCTGTGTCATTATTGCATACACAAGACGATGTGCAATAAATCAAAAAAAAATCGGAGAAACCCCCCAGACAAACTGGGTCTTGGTTTAGGAACAAATTAGTACACAGAAACACTTGTCATCATTATTTAGTACACAGAAACACTTGTCATCATTATTTAGTTTAAATGTCGGACTCACACGCGTATCTATGTTGACACTGACGTAATTGAACAGAGGTACATTAATGTGATTTGTCATGCTAAATACAGTAAATTTTATATTCTGTAGCTCAAATATCTTCTTTGTTGGCTAATATATGATAACCTCTTTCATTAATTGAAAACACGTTAAAAGTCCTTGATATAAGACATTTTGAATCTCTGAAAGGAGTTATTTCAAATCACTGATTTATACAATATCTTCTTTAAGTCAATAATACATGAAATAATGACAAAGCGCGACTATTGTTTGTTACCCCAATAATTCAAATATACACAATAATCACCACTACACTGAAACACTACACATGTACACGTATTGCACTATCAGATAGAGAAGATTTATTGCTTTTAAAAAAACACTTTATTTTAAATGAAAACACAGTATAACCTGCTTTAACTAAAAACTCAGGTAGCAGAAATAAAATTTAAGAGATCGTTCCAAGTTACGTAGACCTTACACAACATTTCCTGCTATTTGTGAAAGAATAAGCATTAGTTATTATCTCGAAATTTCGAGTCATTATGTCGAAATTTCTAGTCATTATCATTTAGTTAAATCAAACAAAAAACTCGATTTTTTTCTACATGGCCCTAATGTTCTTCCGTATAAGAGTGATCTCCCTTTAAAAATCTGCTTCAAATTACACAAAAAGGAGTAACAATGCGTGTAGTATTGCGTGCCTGTAAGATGAAATTTTATACTCCTTTATACGAGAAATTACCGTTCATAAAACTTACTGTACTGGTTTTATAGTGTGGATTCCTTTTGGAAAGGAGACGCATTTATCAAAATGAGATGGCATGTACCGTTAAGAAGGAGAATGAAAAATGAGATAGCATGTACCCTTAAAAGGGAGAATGTAAAATGAGATAGCATGTACCCTTAAGAGGGAGAATGGAAAATGAGATAGCATGTACCTTTAAAAGGGAGAATGTAAAATGGAGATAGCATGTTACCTTAAGAGAGAAACTGAGCAATTAGATAGCATGTACCCTTAGGAGGGAGAATGGAAAATGAGATAGCATGTCCCCTAAAAAGGGAAAATGAAAAATGAGATAGCATGAACCCTTAAGAGGGAGAATTGAAAATGAGATAGCATGTTCCCTTAAGAGAGAAACTGAACAATTAGAGAGCATGTACCCTTAAAATGGAGAATGTAAAATGAGATATCATGTACTCTTAAGGGGGAGAACGAAAAACGATATAGCATGTACCCTTAAGGGGGAGAACGAAAAACGAGATAGCATGTACCCTAAAAATGGAGAATGAAAAATGAGATATCATGTACTCTTAAGGGGGAGAACGAAAAACGATATAGCATGTACCCTTAAAAGGGCGAATGAAAAATGAGATAGCATCTACCATTGAACGAAAAATGAGATAGCATCTACCATTGAACGAAAAATGAGATAGCATCTACCATTGAACGAAAAATGAGATAGCATCTACCATTGAACGAAAAATGAGATAGCATCTACCATTAAGAGGGAGAATGAACAATTAGATAGCATGTTCCCTTAAGAGAGAAACTGAACAATTAGAGAGCATGTACCCTTAAAAGGGAGAACGAAAAATGAGATAGCATCTACCATTGAACGAAAAATGAGATAGCATCTACCATTGAACGAAAAATGAGATAGCATCTACCATTAAGAGGGAGAACGAAAAAATAGATAGCATGTACCCTTAATAGGGAGAATGAAACATGAGATAGCATGTCCCCTTAAGAGGGAGAATGAAAAATGAAATAGCATGTACCCTTAATAGGGAGAATGAAACATGAGATAGCATGTCCCCTAAAAAGGGAAAATGAAAAATGAGATAGCATGTACCCTTAAGAGGGAGAATGTAAAATGGAGATAGCATGTACCCTTAAGAGAGAAACTGAACAATTAGATAGCATGTACCCTTAAAAGGGAGAATGAAAAATGAGATAGCATGTACCCTTAAGAGGGAGAATGGAAAATGAGATAGCATGTACCCTTAAAAGGGAGAATGAAAAATGAGATAGCATGTACCCTTAAGAGGGAGAATGAAAAATGAGATAGCATGTACCCTTAAAAGGGAGAATGAAAAATGAGATAGCATGTACCCTTAAGAGGGAGAATGAAAAATGAGATAGCATGTACCCTTAAAAGGGAGAATGAAAAATGAGATAGCATGTACCCTTAAGAGGGAGAATGAAAAATGAGATAGCATGTACCCTTAAAAGGGAGAATGAAAAATGAGATAGCATGTACCCTTAAAAGGGAGAATGAAAAATGAGATAGCATGTACCCTAAAAAGGGAGAATGAAAAATGAGATAGCATGTACCCTTAAGAGGGAGAATGTAAAATGGAGATAGCATGTTCCCTTAAGAGAGAAACTGAACAATTAGATAGCATGTACCCTTAAAAGGGAGAATGAAAAATGAGATAGCATGTACCCTTAAGAGGTAGAATGAAAAATGAGATAGCATCTACCATTGAACGAAAAATGAGATAGCATGTTCCCTTAAGAGGGAGAATGAAAAATGAGATATCATGTACCCTTAAGAAGGAGAATGAAAAATGAGATAGCATGTACCCTTAAGAGGGAGAATGAAAAATGAGACAGCATGTACCCTTAAGAGGAAGTCTATATAGACAGGTGCTCCTTTTAGGCAGGTAGTCTTTACAGACAGGTAGTGTTATCAGACAGTAAATCTTCATAAACAAGTGTTCTTTATAGACGAATTGTCTTCATAGACAGGTGGTCTTAACAGGCAGTGAATATTCATAGACAGGTGGTCTTTATTGACACGTGATCAATATAGGAAGTGAAATTTTAAAAGAAGTTTTTTGTAACATATGTTCTTTATGAAATGGTGTTTTTATAGACAGTGCGTTTTAATATACAGGTAATCTTTATAATCAGGTTTATTTTTTTACAGATGGTTTTCACAGAAAAGCTATCTTATAGACAAGTGGTCGTTATTTACAAATGATTTTTTTTATAAACAGGTGTTTTTGATAGATAAGATATCTTAATAGACGGGTGACATTGATAGACAGGTATTTTTTTCATTGACAGACGGTCTTAATGAGATAGATTATTATATTTAAAACAATCATTGGGATATTTTCCAGGTGTTGAAGATATGAAAGATAAACATGCGGCTTACAAAGGAAAAATGGTCTTCATAGACAGATTTGTATATAGAAACAATATTTGGGATGTTGTTTAGACATAAAATATTAAAAGAGAGGTTGTTTTAAAGGCAGATTTTACATTCCTTTAAGCGAAGTGGTGTGACTCCCCTCCCCCCAATAGATTCCAAAAGTGCCCGGATATTATATAGCTTATCCATGCTACAAAGACATGTTTCCGATGTGTATCTGTACCAGTTATGATACCCCCCCCCCCCCCCCCCCCCCATAACGCTCGTGCAGCACGTCGACTGATTTTGCATATGTAAATGGATGTATAATTTAATGATAGTTTGACAAGATTCCAGCATCCTGTATATATAAAATGTACGCGTAGACACACTACACACGAAATACACGTGTACACTTCTGGTCTAGAAAACAGACTTAAGTATACTGCTCTGTTTTTTCCCCTCTAAATACAGTTATCTCCCCTTAACTCCCGTTCCGATAAAGTGGAAGTGTCTAGGGATCGAATCCCGGTCAAGCCCCACTGATTTTTTTACATTAATTTTACACTCAGAACACTGCTGTTGATATTTAATTTCTATTCATCTTTATCATCAGTTCCGCAAGATAAAGTTTTCTTTTCAGAAATGATTATCAAAGCTAATCCTTCCTTGTGATCACGTATTGATTGTAACGCCATTAGTTTGTGTGGGAAAATTATGACGTTACTCTCACAAACAAATGACGTAACAATCAATACCTTCTCACAAAGCAGATAACTCTGCAATGCGAAAAGACGGAATAGTCCTGCAGGAAAAAAATAGTTTCCTATACTAAGTTACAGTTTTGGCAGTGGTGCAGGGATCCTTAAATACCTGTGTATGAAACGCCCGTGTAAACATATTTACACAACAAACACACGTGTAATGGTTTAATGTGTAGAGGAATTTGACCTACATATACCGCTCATACTTACAGGGTGACTAGAGGCATTACTGAGTTGTTGGTCTGCTACAGGTGATCCATCTGAAAGAAACAAAAATTTTTATTTAGTAGGAATATGTTCACCGTCATTAAACGTGCGTGTATGCGTGGAATAGCTGACGACGATGCTGTTATCTTAAGTGTCACGTGGTATTTTGTATAGATACATGATGTTCCGCCAGACATAATGGCACCGTTTAACAACATGTTAGCTATGAAACAAAATTTTGTCATCCGGACATATGCACAAGTATTATCAAGAAACTCGGTCATCCGGACGATGATGTAGGCTGGAAACTAGGCTATCCGGTCTCTGCTATCCAAGCTGAACATAAGTTTCATTCGTCTTCGTTTCTTCAGATCTTATTTAGTACAACACAAATTTGATCAACTGGGCTCATATACTTAGTACAACACAAACTTGATAAACCGGACTTGTATACTTAGTACAACACAAACTTGATAAACCGGATTCGTATACTTATTACAATGGACACTCGATCATCCAGACCACTGTATCCCTATATAAGAATATAAACTAAACCTTCCGAACTCCTTCGCGTGTATTTAGTTCAACGGAAACTAAGTGGCCCCTTTTCCTTGCCTTCGTATAAATGTACGGACGCTTAATTGAAGGAATTTAACTACATTTAGTTGACATTTCATGTTTCCTTAATCGTGGAAATTCATTTTCTAGTTTTTGTTTCTATTTTCAGATAACAATAGATAGGGATGAGCAGTAGCGGATCCAGAGTTTTTTTGGGGCTTCAGACCCCATCCCCCCCCGACTCTGAGAATTTCTTTCAAAATCATGTATTTTCACCATTTTGCTCAATTTCCCCCCACTTGGAAACCCCCAATGGAAATTTGAAAACCCTCCAGAAAGGTCCCTGGATCCGCGACTGATTAGGGCGATATCATTGCACATTTCACACAATGCATTGACAACATTGAAAATATTTTCAATTTTGGTATAGCGAAAATAACGATATTACTATAATTATCTTCCCTTATTTTTTGTTCTTAGCGAGGATGCGTTTTTTAACATTTATTATTATCAACTTGAAATTGAATGACAAATTTGATGACATAATTTTCAAAAGACACTAATTTTGTTAATACAACGAGAGGAATAAATAAATCTAAACCGCTCGAGTAGCAATTCTAACATCTGGCAGCGCTAGTTCCTCAGCGATGGGATTATTACATATATTAACCCATATAACTGGTTTAAATGATTTAATAATACATGTTCACCAAGATGTTATGAAAATCTTTTCTTTTTAATTTTAACACACAATCCCTATCGATTCTGTCTTTTTATTTAACATATTTAAAAAATATTTCCACTCACCAAATGGATACAAATAACGTCTTATGTCGCGATATTTGTCGCGGTATTTGTGATTTTAACTTCTGATTGGTTGAATTTTCTCGGCGATGAAAATACTGCACAATGTTGTGTTTTTGCAAAATTATTATTATCATCTTTTTCATAAATTAATTAATATTCATCGAATATGAACTAAAACGTGTTGTCTGTTTTGTTCAATTAAATGACAAACTTCGTGGATTTATGCAAATTGTACACAGTTTATTTTCGCTAAGTACAGTATAACCAGAAAAAAAACATCCTAGATATTCCTGGAATATATCGTACTGGAAAAATCTCATTCCTTTCTTCAACCGTCTATTTATAATGAAAATAGGAAACTTTCGTGATGCTGACAGCGTTTCGACTTTAAAAAGTCCGGGTCTAGATCCGTCTATCATGTGTTATCGGTACATAAATCATAAAAAGGTCATCACCTTAGCATGTTAAATAGATTTATTAACACTCTAGACGACACACAGGTTCTCGTTAATCTACTGCTGACGTCAGATTGATGACCCGAATACGGTTTTATTGCAGCGTAATGATAGAAATTAGATAATTGTAGAGTACATTTCTCTTAAAAACGTAATAAAACGTCCTAGAAATTTTCAAACAATTAACTAGTTACACATCTAGGAGAAAAATCCTAACAGAAAAATAGAAATGCTATCCCTGTCCCCACGTAATCGTAATACGAGCGTGCCTTTGGTGACGTGTTTTTGTATCACGCACCCGACATACTTTATCTTTTTACTTATTTTCTCCGTATTTAACAATGACAAAGTTCACGAAGCCCAAGCGCATGCGTGAAAACTTTCAGTGCTCCGTTGTCATTGCAATACAATGACGGGCTTCCTTTTTTGTTGTATATGGATTGAAATGTATCTTTCGAAGTATTTACCATCGTGCTACACAGTGCCGTTCATAAAAAAAAATAACTTAATCAAACTTCAGCATTTTTATTCAAATAAGAGTATGACAGCGCTTCAAGTCGAATTTGTCACCTACATCAAATGATATTCTTGTTGATCACAGGGACCTGAACATTTGTTACAGCTATATTTGGACCTAAACTAAGTTGTTCAGAGTAAGTTTACATGTTTTAGGGGTTTAGATCGACTTTTGGTAAAAATGACAACCGCATGATCACCTATATATGATCATTGGGGTGTCATTTATCCCGAAAGTCGATCTAAACCCCTAAAACATGTAAAGTTACTCTCTTAACACCTTAGTTTAGGTACAAATATAGCTGTTACAAATGTTCAGGTCCCTGTGTTATTGACTTTGAATGCCAACTGAATATTGCTCAATACTTTGATTTCAAACATATTCTCCAGATGCACCGCATAACCGAGTATAGTTCTGCGCTATCGAGAATCATGAAACACATTTTCTTCTTCTCCTCTTTGGTTACTGATGTCGTCAATCTTGACGATGCATACCAACATAAACTGAGTAGACTGACAAATGCATTCTAGCATTAGTTTTTAGTTTCCTGTGTAAACAAACCACCCGGGCCAGCTATGGAGAAAAACGTTTTAGTAATTTAGTCATTAACCCAATCAATTCTGTGTGATCCGCGTCGTGTTATTTGTTAGCTACATGATGCATGCACCGTCGATAGGAAAATGGCGAACTACAGATATGATCTGAATTATGATTATATACAAAACTGTCATAGCAACGACACTCATTAAACGTGATAATATTCAACGAAGTGTTCGGCACAAGCATTCTTCAATCTAAATAGTATATCCTATGCACGTGCCCGTGACATAGGGATGCTTGAAGTATTTTTATTGTGATTTGTTTATGTTTGTCGATCAGAAAAAACTCCAGTTGCTATGACAACGCAAAGTCCAAGTTAGTTGTGACTCGGAAAACTAGAAATGCGACGTAGACGTTTATTTGCGTCTTCACGTGCCTGTTGCATGCGCGCACGTGTTGACAGTTTTAGACTGGTGATTCCGTAGATGACCAGTTTTACAACCTACTCAGTTATACAGCCTCAGTCTGAAAAGTGTGTACAGTGTAACACGTTGACCAAAGTGCGCTTACACGGACATTTGTAAAATGCGGAACGGAATAAAGCACGGAAAGAATTGGAACGAAACTGTAATTTAAAAGTAAAGCCTTTTTAACCGTTTCAAAATGAATGTAGTTATCTTACATGTTCTTACGATAACATTAGATAGAACAACAATGCGTCACTCCTTTGATGAGTCGAGCGGTTCGACTTTGACAAGTCACCTGTTGCTTGTCCAATTTACACATATAAATAATCGCAAAAACTGCAGCTTTATATTCGTCCTGTCACGGATTTTTATTAGAAAACAACCAACATTAAACATCCCAGATGTATATATATGTATATATCTACACAGATATATATATCTTGTCTTGTTCAAATTCCTGTTATCGCAGGTATGAGTTAAGTCCCTTATAAAAGTGTTGTATATGTCGCTAATGGTCCATAATCTGTACTGAGATTTCAAAACAAGATATATATAAATAAATATATGCATATGAAATAATTTATTGCAAGGGAAACTATATCTTAACACGGGTTAATGTTATTGGGGAAGTACAGCGTATAGTCATGTTTCAATACCTTATAACATGTATTTGTTTCAAGCTAGATGTAATTACACATCAACAATCCTATATATCAATAATGCCTGTTTTTCTGTTCCCTTCTTCACACTCGCTGACCTAAGCACCCTCTCAAGTGTGCAGTAATAATTAAACTAATGAACTGTAGTGACACATTAGAGAAAAAAGCGAAATGTATGTCGTCAAAAAGTCATTTGGACCCAGACAAGTCGTTGCTGGTTGTTATCTGAACCAGCTGTAGCTACATGTATGCACGCGAGGTATCGCCCCGCCCTCCGGTAATGTACACGTGCATCGAGCCCAAGTCAGGTGTCTGTCACGGCCCGGGTGTGACACGATGTCATCACTTAACATGATACCACACTTTCTACATTGTTTTGTTCGTGTTAAAGACAACTGCACACTATATAATGCACGTGTTAGCGTTCGCGTACGGGTAATCCCTCGCACATTCCCAGGTCAGCGTCGTGTGTTAATTAATCCTTGTTGAGTCATGCGTGGCAGTCCCTAACACTGAGGTGTGTGAAGTTAAGTGCTAGGCGTCTTTGTATGCTTACATGTAACATACATTGTTTTTTGTATTTCTATCGTTATGCTCATGTATTGTTACCATCACATTGCTTGTATCATTACAAAAGTGCAAACAAGCTTCGAATTGATTTACAAGATAACTATTTATTTAAAACAAATGTTCATTGTATGAAGATGTCGTTGCATCAAAATATACTTAAACATAACTTAGAATGACGGTTTTACTAAATAGCTTGTATGATTTAAAGACTGAAACGCATCATTTTTATATTTATGAAGGGTAGAGACCCTGCACCGTTTTTCTTTACCAAAAGTGCGTTGCGTTTGCGCTGCGTTTTCGTTGCGTTTGCGTGTCAACGGATAAAAATAACCGCAGAAAAAAACGGCCCAGGGTATTTATTTATATTGTTACACAACCCTGATTCTTTTCCCAAGTTCATCATATATAGGTATACGTGCACGTACATAAATCTCACGTCACGTTCGTGTCATACCCAGAAAGTGTCACGATATCAACACT